AGCCATTTCCTAATCCTTATGTCTTATAATGGCATAGTACTTTTTCATTACATGAGATTTACTTTTTCACTTAACAATTCTACTCGTTTCATAAGCTCAGCAGAACCCAAAAACAACTGCACTGATTTGGAAATGTCAGTGTTCAAAACCTTTACTATTTTTTCCATCAAGAAATGGAGTCTTACACTTTTCTCCCATCTTTCAGGCTTGCACAGAAAATGAAAGGCAGTGCCAAAGAGCACGTGCACACACAGGAGTTTCAAAAGACTAAACACCCTGCAGTGCACAAACACCTGTATTAGAATCCTGTCCTTACTTGAAAAAAAGTTTTGCAGTAGAGCTCAAACTAAGGTGATTTTAATAAGCTGAATAAAACCTCCCATTTGCAGACCTAGCTTATCGGTACGTGCAGAGAGGATACATAATTTAGAAGAACACTTCTAATTGCTGCAAGACAACACCTGAACAAAACAGCCAGGTTAAAGTGTATTGGCTTGCTGTTTGTTAGTATGAAGACAAATTAAAACTTCAGGGCAGCAATATCCATTCAACACAAGTTACATGTCATCAGTTCTCTCAAGCTGAATATCCATTACGCTAATATATTGCTAATAATACGTTGGATAAAGATTGTTTCAGGATTTCATATTACTTTTAAGATGGCAAAACTCATCTCAAAGGCAACACAGGGCAAACTGACTTAATAACCCAGTATTTCATAATCTTTTCAAACATCTACATTTCAGGATGGATTACCAGCCATTCCTAAGAATGCACAGTTCTGTATGCTCCAGTGACTGAGATGCTGTAATTGCCAAGTGTTTCTCAGGGTCACCTCCGTTTCTCTGTATCACACTGACTTCCAACACACGGTATCTGTTGTTCAACCCATTCCTGAGTACTGTGTCAGGGGAGTCAGCCATTTTCTTCTGAAAAACTGAAGGAAAACTCGTTAATATGAAGATATGACATTATTTGAAGAGAGTCAACCCTCACACCAGAGTAAAAAAAAAAACAAACCAACTTAAAAGGAAACCCAACTTCACCTCCTTAACTTTTTGTATGCATATAATGTGGGTTTCTAGTTCTATACAGGCAAAGTGTAGGAAACCTTCACTCTGGTAACGATGCCACGTTGTCTCCTTGGACGGCAGGGATGAAAAACAAGCTAGGACACGCAAGACAGAAGGAAAGAGACACAAACGTTAAGGAAGTGTCCAGTGCTTCCCTTCGGCATCCATGTCTTCGCAAACCCCTTATAAGTCGATTACACCTGCGCCACAACACCGTGCTTGTGAGAAAGCGCCGGTCTCTCGGAACACCGTAAAGCACCTGAGAGCTCCCACAACCACGCGAGTACGTGGAACACCCAGACCCACGGGCTCCCCGTCAGCCTGAGGCAGC